AGTATAATACATTTTAAATAAAGTAATTATCGCATTTTTTTAGCATTTTTTGAAAAAAAAAAATAAACGAAGCATATCTTACTATATAAAGCAGGCATAATTTGAGTTTAGCGCAGCAGAAAATGGGCCACCCTACTCAGTACTCACCTCATACAAATTAATTAAAAGTTTACATCAAAGTTATAGTACTATACGCTAAGTCTACCGTTTACGGTAGTTATTTTCTATGATTATCATAAAGTATAAGCTTTTACTTTATACAGTCAAACCTTTATGTAACGATACTATATGTACCGATAATTGCATGTACCGATAATTAGCAAGCCAATAAAACATAGTGAGCCTTCTCAAAAAGACCATTAAAAAAATTTTCGTTTATCGTATATTTCGCATATCACGTGATTATTGTGATTATTGTGTTGCCGCCACAAATCACGAGACACATCAGATTGCCTTTGACGCGACTCACATCGTATGTACCTTCATTCTTGTAACAATCATGCATTTAGAGATCAAAACATACTTTGAGGACACGCCAATTCTAGAGTGGTCCTACCCTGGTTTCTTGAGAGCTTTGAAGCCTTTCTGTGTCGCTGATTGCTACGGTTCGCTAAAAGATCAAAATTCGATCTGGAGAAAACGATTCAACACCTTTTTAAGAAAATTCCTTGATAGTAATGAGGGGAAAGAAGAGGAACTTGAATATGTAGCCTTACTACTGGAGGAGGACGGAAATTTACTTTTCAGTTTATCTCGTGCATTGGCGGACTCACAGGGTGCTCCTGGGGGTGCTGTCGGGGTGCCGTGAGGGTGCTGTTCCTTCTCGAGTTCCTCTTCACTTCCTCCTCGCGTTCCTTGTGCATTGTTCGTCTCGGAAGGGTGCTGTCGGGGTGCGGTAGGGTGCTGTCGGGGTGCCGTTTTACGTTCCTCTTCAGTTCCTTTCCGTGTTCCTCTTCAGTTCCTTTCCGTGTTCTTTGCGCATTGTTCGTCTTTTTTTTAAGTTTGAAACACTTTAACTTGTTGGCGTTTTATTCTTGGCTTTTTTTTTTTAAGAAGGTTCAAGTGGAAGCTTTTTGGAAAGACGTCCAGTTAGAAAGGGAAATGACAAACCAGGCGGAAAGGGAAAGAGTAAGCTTCATGGTCCCACTCGTAATATCTGCATTTCGGGAGGGATACGTATACTCAAACGATTGTTTTTGCACCTAAGATGATTACCAGGCATAAGTCAAATGTCGACGCATTAAAGGTTATTAACGCTGCTCGTAACAAAGAAACGCACGCGCTTGTTGATGATTATAGCTTACAAATATCAAAAAAGCCGCGCCTCACCAGCCGTTCATCCAAGCAAGTGATAAACCATTCAATTTGGTCTGATACAATTGACGACGCCGAGAGCAATTCTGAAGAAAAGTTCGAGAAGTCTTTCGCAAAGAAGGATAATGATGAAAAGGTTCAGGTCAATATGCTAGCTCAAAACAAGGTAGAGTCATACTCTATTAAAGTACTAGAAACCAAAGGCTTGTCTGAGCATATTATTTTTACTATAGGATGTGTCATTAAAAACCAACACTACATTAGCAGAAAAAGAATGCATTGAAGAGGAAGTTGATGAGGAGAATGAAGAGCAAGATGTTAACATGAACTATGACAATCCAGAATATAGTAATGATGACGTTGATGTAGAAAATGTAGAAGAGCAGGTCTGTAGCTTGCACCTTGGCCATATTAATTTGCCTTAATATTGCTGATTTATCTATTATTTATATAGACAGCATTTGTTCTCAATATTTTCCAAGAGTTCATAGCTGTGTCTTCTATGGATAAGAAACTAGCAGACATCTTCAAATCTCTTAATACTAGACAGTCAATTATGGATCTACGTCCAGCATCAACTTTCTCATTAGCCATTGACACAACACTACATGAAGAAATTCTTCATCAAGTGTTTGATCCTATTGACTTACTTATAACAGATGATCTGCATTCCTTTTTGACTGATTTTTTTAATGCTGATCACGGTCCAGAGGGGTGGGATACTGCAGTGGAAGGACTACTGATTTACAACACAGAGTCTGAAATTGTGAGGAAAGCAAAGAAACTGCTGAAACGAACCTTGGTTCAGTTGTAAGTTAGAACCATTGAGTTTATAGGACGCAAATATCAATAGATGTTCACTGATTCATTATTAATTATATATAGCTTTAAGGCATTCTCATTAAATGCAATTAATCCTCTGCGCGATCTCACAATTCTAGAGAAGCCCCACTTAAATCAATTCGTCCATCCAGTTATCGATGCAGCGCTCTGGATATTCGGCAAAGTAAATTATATCTAGTAAGTTTTATTTATTTGTTTTTTTACTTGAGAAAACATTGCTTATTATTGTATATGTATTGATCCTCAGTGGAGAGATTCCTGTAAAAAAGTTAAAATCCCGGATCCGTGTGGATGGAATTGGGTATATTAATGATGTGACCAATTATGCTCTTGTTTGTGGTGAAGGTGCAAAACCTGGGGCTACCACGAAGAAGCGCACTGAAGACATTAACAAGAATGCTGCTAGCATGGCTCGTTTGTACAATGATATCATCATTGCAGAGGCCGATGCTCGTCACCAACTGCTACCTGATTTACGAACTTATGGGATGACATCCCACAGGACTGAAGTATCATTGACAATGCTCGATTTCCGTGGTATGAATTGTGGCTTGAAGCATTCCAAACTAAAAAATGTTGTGATTTAACATAATTTAATTGTCCTTTTCAGATGTACACAGAATATTCGAAGTCGACCGCTATTCTTTGCCACAAGATTGGGTTGATATGCCCAAATTCGCGCACATGTACGAGGCGGTCATTAAATGGGCGGTAAGTTCTCGTATATATTTTATTACCGAATTTGAAGATTATATTTGCAACAATCTAACTACAAAATTTGTATCGGTAGTTGTGTATATGCTCAACCAAGGAAGCCTTGATTGCGAATCGGAAAAAGAGGCGCATGACACGCTACAGTGAAGTTCGACTTTCAAAAAGACTGACATGTCTCAAAAATTCGGAAGCGGTACTTGAGACTACTGATGTATGATGAAAGAGCAATTATATCTGTTACACCTTTTGAGGAAATGAGCCTATGACGCTATCGTATAACAAACATGTAGTATAAAAACGCAAATAAAGCACTTGTTCTTGGATGCATTGCATTAATTATTTGCATTGGATTAGAGAGAACTTTGCACACACGTCTACATAGGCTGCATATGAGTATCCGCGTGGGATATAACATTTTTGACAAAAAATTGCGCTGGTTTTTTGTTTCAATGTTTTGAAAGGTGTAGGAAATCTGAAGTTTTATTAGCTGCAATAAAATGCCGAAAGCGCAACTATGCTATCTCCCTTTGGGTTTCAGTATCATAAGTAAACCAGATCAATTTCAATATTGCAATGCAAATAATTGTTTGATTTTTTTTAATTATTAACATTAGATGATCCTATTGAAGTTCTAGCTTGTGGTCACACATACCATAAATCCTGCTATTAGCATTAATGGATTTAAATGCTTACATTGTCTCATTCTTACACAACGGTGTTATTGAACATGTTAAATCCTTATTGGAATCCTTGCAAAGCTTAGACAAAAAATGAAAAGTACAGGTTGAACCAAAAAAATAATATTTAATGAAAGTGAACCGGTAAATTATGCAACATCTGCATTAGAAGAGGCATTATGAAATTTCAAACAAAAAAATAATAAAATTTTTTATTACATATAATCTTTCCCAGCATTATCATCAAAAAAAGCTTAGGTTATTAGTCTTTTATAATAATCTGTCACATTGTGTTACACCCATTGTGTTTCATTTTTTATTATTTAATTTGGAAACTAAGTTTGTCACTCATTATTTATTACAGATGCCACCCTTACCTTATGATATGATATTAAGGTTAGATAAGTTAAGTGTGATTTTACTTGTAATGTTGGGATTAGAAAACATAGCAGACATGCTTATATCTTCATGTCGATTATTTTGTTGATCATATATAACTGAATTATTACATTATATAAAATCAGCTGATTTTGCATATGTTCAGGTAAACTGGAAAAAAACAATAAATATAATATTTTAAAATGTGAATAATAAGATTCTAAAATAGTAAATCAAGAGTATAGTAGAATTTCATTATAATGAATCTTTATTTTTGAAGGTAATATCTTATTGAATTTTAACAATTTATTCATTATATAGTAATATCAAATATCATATTTAATCTAATTTTAAAGCAATATTATTTAATAAATCAATTATTAATTTTAAAATATTAATAAATTATATTATCCAAAATTTTATTCTCTTTTTAATAAATATTTAAATATAACAAACGAATAAAAATTGAATAAATTTTATTAAAGACAAAAGTATCTTTAAATTTCATAAAAATTGTGTAAAAAATACTACTATTTTATTATTACATCCTGATTATTATCCTTACAAACTCCACTTTATTATATAGTTTTTCCATTTGTTTTGATAAACGTGTTCTTATTTATTCAAAATATCTCAAATAAACAATAATAACAAATAATAACAAACATTATGTATAATACATATTATGCGATTATATATATATTTTTTGCAATTAAAATTTTTGTAATTTTAAATTTATGCAGTTTTCACAATTTCGTAATTAAAATTTCAAATTTAAATTATAGAAATTAAATAATTGAATCAACTAATTAATCATTATTAATTTAACATTGATTAATTCTAGATTTGACATTACTTAATTTAAGGTTTAATACTAATTAATCCCATAAAAATTTATTAAATAATTTTACATATTTTATTATATTTTTGTGAATATTTAAATTATTAATTTATACTTTATTAAAATTTATAATATAACATTTATTTTAATAGTAATACAAAAAACAATTAGCTATATCTAAGGTTGCTGGACGAAATTCAGAGTTTAGATAGACATTTAAATGATAAAAATAAAACTTGGTTAAATTATATTAAAATTTTATTAAAAAATCTGTGAAATTTAGAAAAAGGTAAAATTATATCAAAGTTTATAAAAATAGCAAAACTATATCAAACACTTAATAAAAATTTAGCGAAATTAAAAATTTAGACGTTTAGCCAAATCCAAAATGAGTTTAGACAAGCAACCTTGGTTATATCTCTTAAATTTAGTGTTCTGCAAAAAATCTGATTCAATCTGAATCTGATCTGAATCTGATAAATCTGATCAAATCAGATTTATCGAATTCGAATCAGATTCAGATCCAGATTTTGATTTAATTCAATTATCAGATCCAGATTAGATTCAGATTTGAATTTGATTCAATATGACAAATTCAGATTTGGATTCAGATTCGATTTGTTGAATTTAAAATAAGAAATGTTACTCCAAAATCAAATGCGGTATTTATTAATAAAAAATTAATTATTAATTAATTTTAATAATAAAATGCTATCCTGAAAGTCGAAAGCGGCATTTATTATTTAAAAAATTAATTTTTAATAATAAAATGCTGCCCCAAAAGTCAGACACAGCATTTATTATTTAAAAAATTAATCTTTAATAATAAAATGCCGCCTTAAAATCAAATGTGTATTTATTAAATTTGTAATGATTTTTTATATTAAAATGTCGTCTTGAAAGTCAGATACAGCATTTATTATTAATAAAATTAATTTTTAATAATAAATTGCTATCCTGAAAGTCGAATGTGACATTTATTAATAAAAAATTAATTTTTTATTAATTTTTAATAACAAAATGCTATCCTAAAAGTTAGAGGCGCATTTATTATTAATTTTTTTTAATTTTTTATATTAAATTGCTGCCCTGAAAGTCAGACATGGCATTTATTAATAAAAAATTGATTTTTTTATTAATTTTTAATAATAAAATGCTATTCCAAAAGTCAGATGCAACATTTATTAATAAAAAATTAATTTTTTATTAATTTTTAATAACAAAATGTCGTCCTGAAAGTTAGAAGCGCATTTATTATTAAATTTTTTAATTTTTATATTAAATGTCATCCTGAAAGTCAGACACAGCATTTATTAATAAAAAATCAATTTTTTATTAATTTTTAATATAAAATACCATCCCAAAAGTCAGATACAACATTTATTAATAAAAAAATTAATTTTTTATTAATTTTAATAATAAAATCCCATCACAAAAGTCAGATGTGACATTTATTAATAAAAAAAATAATTTTTATTAAATTTTATATTAAAATGTCATCCCAAAAGTCAGACGCAGCATTTAATAATAAATAAATTAATTTTTATTAATTTTTTATATTAAAATGCCGCCTGAAAGTCAAATGTGACATTTATTAATAAAAAAATTAATTTTTATTAATTTTTTATATTAAAATGCTACCTCAAAAGTCAGATGCAATATTTATTAATTAATGCTTGAAATTTTTTAAAAAAGTAAGAATGCTAAGTTTGATAAATTCAAAAGTTAATAACTAATTTATTTGTAGTTAACTATATTTAAGATTTCTTTTAAGAGAATAAAAATCAATAAATTGTTTGGTATTTGTATAATTTTTAAGAAAAGAACATAATGTTATGAGAATAGATATATTATTAAAAGTTAGAATATAAGAAAAATGGGAAGTTTGATCAAAAACAATAGATAAAGTGAAGGAAATTAGTTAGAATTTAGCTAATTGATTAACTTTATTATTATGAGGATCATCAGAATACATAACTATTTTTTTTAATATTAAAGAAATATTTTATTTTTCTAGAAGGTTAAAAATAAAAGACCAATAAATATTAAAAGGTAACTTAAACATTAATAAAGGATATTTAAAAGCATTTTATTTATGAATTTAGTTATATAAATATATAAGTGATAAGCTATTAGTACTAAAGATGAGCATCATAATTAAGAAGTTGCAACTCAGTAAATTGCAACTCCTTGTAAATTTATTTTAATATAAAAATTCATAAAATGTTGTAACTCAAAGTGTTGCAACTTAAGTTGTAACTAGTTAAAAATTTTAAAAATAATTATGGAAACCATCTTTAATTAGTACAAATGTTAATCTTAGAATTAGAATAACAGATAAGTAAAATTAAAAGTAAAGCAAAAATTTCTGCATTAGTAGAGTTAGCCTAAAAACACAGAATGGCAGTAGTAAATTCTATATTAAAATTGTTATAAATAAGAAGAAAAGCATAACTCAAGTAAGAACTAGGAGAAGTAAAATGAGGAAAAAATTTGTATGAACCATCAGTATAAAAGATGAGTATATCATCATCTTTTAAATCAAATTTAAATTGATTAAGAAATGTATAGGTTGATGGTATTAAAATCAAAGATTTAATAGTACAATAGGAAGGATTCTTACTAATTATGAGGTTATTAGGTATAATCTCTGGTCTTATATCCAAATATTTTGAGTAGCTTGATCTGACATGATTTTAATATTTCTTTTAAGCAGATAAAGTTTTTTAGAATTAACAAATGTAAAAAAATTAGTTTAAATAAGTTGAGGAAGATCAATATCAACTAAGTTATTGCAATTTAAATGTTGAGCAGTAATAGAAAAATGAGCATATTGTATTTTATTATGAAAAGTGCATCTAGTATAGGCTATTAAGGTATTCTGTTTTGTTGATAATGATCTAGGATCTGAAGTAAAGTTGATTGGAACAAAGTGTTAGAATAAAATCTTATCAGGAAAAGTGGAAATTTAAATGATTATCTAATAATTGTCTATCCAGAATAAGATAGGTTGTAAAAATTTGATTCAGGTGGAATTCAAAGAGCGATCTAATCTGAAACTTTAATTGAATCACAGGTCAAATGTTGATAAATCAGATACCTTCCCAATTGGTCACTATTTTTTGATTAGCAATCAATAGATAGAAATCAATAGATACTACAATCGGATATGAATTGGTTAATACCATAATCTTAATTATTAGGTAGAATTACATAAATCAGGTTCCAATTTGATTTTATATTTATTTAAAAAATTTATAACTATATGCTAAATAGTAACAAATTAGGTTCAAGAAGGAAAAAACTCTTTCTGCTGATCCG